GAAGAACTGCAGGTAAATGGCTTCCAACTTTTTCTTGTGAATTGTGCTAACTTTATCCAATGTGAAGCTCATTATTTGCGCTTCTTGACTTGGTCAGGACCCTGCGTCAATTGCTTTCGTGCGTACACAGTCATGCATGATCAGGTGCACGAAATTGCAGAGTTTTATTGTGGAGATAGACTCTCCTCTGTAGTGCATGCATGGATGCACAACAGAAATGAAGGCTTCATATTAAGCTGGAAATCATGACGTTGACTATCGCTTTAGAGAACTCACAGAAATCACACTGTGCATTAAATATGCAATATCGTGATGACGTGAGCTGCTGCTGCCGCTGGGGCTGTGGCTGCTTGCTTTCTGCAAACAAGCCGAAAAGCTGCAGAGGGGACCGTCTTTTTTAAGGAACCGGCCCTCAACTTCTTTCACGTAAGTACATTAAGTTCAGGGTTACTGGTGTATGTGGATTTGCGAAAGGAAAACACTGTGAAACGTCTTCAAATTTGATGTGTTTTTTCGAAACGTATTGCATGCTTCTTGATGAGTTGTGGTGACCTTTACTTCATAAGAAAGCCGACCCCAAAAGAAGTTACGATGTATCTTTATCCTTTGGCGATGCAAGCTCTTGCTGAGCTAGGCTCGCAAGAGCTCTCATGATTTCGTTCACAATGTACCTCATAATGGCTGCGGGACATTTTCTGTATTTATTTTTCTGTGGACTTAAAACTCAGTACTTCCTGTGAATTTAGACACTATGAAGAAGGCAGTTGCCCAGTGTTCCCTTGAATGCGCTTTTGCTGTTCGTAAGACTGAAGGCTTTACTGCAGGAGATGAAGATAAATGCCCACATCTGCGCACCCATGTAACTGTAGTTGCTACAAAGCCAAATGCTTACTGCACAAGCGGGGCTTGGGACTGTATTTAAACAAAGTAGCCAACCGTCTCCAGTTCGGTGAATGGCAAATGCGCTTGGGACTCTTGAACAATAAGGAAAACCTCGGTGGCAAAATCTCGTCAATGCACTGCAGAGAGCTTCCTTTCTTCGGAACTGCGGCTACAAGGCATATGTTTCAGTTGTTTTCTAGGCAGCTCTACAGCAGCAAGCAGGAGCGAACAGATGGGAGGAAAAAACCACGACAGAGTAGGATATTCGCACTCTATTAGGCTGCCTTTTCTGCCGTCACAATGTGTCACAACGTGGGAGTAGGGTAAGTACGCTACGTCCTAATTGCGGCAGAATGAGGCACTGGGAACAGCAATACAATGCGGCGGCTTGCTTTTTAAAGTAAGCCAGGCTGTGCCGACGAAGGTAAGAAACTTACTTAAAAGACTAATGGCGCAATGCGCTGGCGTACAACTCCGGTGTGCCAGCGGCAACCGCCGCTCGTCAAGTTCCATATAACACAAAACACAACCTGGCTACTTCATGCATACAAATGAAAAAAAGCAGCCAGTGCTCATATACAATGCGTTCAATACATGGCCCTTTGGCGGCGTAAGAGCTCTTGCTAAGCGTAATTGAACCAGTCGCAGTGTTAGTGTCACAGAAAATTAATCCAGCTGCCGTCTTGAATTTCAGAAAAGTGTGTAGTTTTGAAGAGCGTTCGTGTGGGGCTCTAAACCCAGAGCCAATATAAGGTGGCCCATCTCTGTAGCGCACGGCATTACACTGCCGCGCTGGAACAACCTTGAGAACGTCACATTTCGCGCTGTATGAAAAGAGCACAGCTCGATTTGCTTCACTTGGAACATTTTTGCTCTTGCAGCGGGCCACCTTTAAGGTGGCACACAGGTAGGCCACGGTTTGGGGCAGGCAGTGTCAGGCAATAACATGAACACCGTGAGTTGAAATCTCTTGTTGGTAGGTACAATAGAAAAATGTTTATCTTAGCCTTTACTTGGTCTTTGCTGTTCAGAGACATGTGCGTGCGCACTAGCAGTACTGTGCAGTGGCTAAGCCAAGCTTCACTCAAGATGATTGAAGGATATTGGGGAAAATTATTATTCTATGAGCAGTAAGGTAAAAACTCGATTCTACAGGACCCTGTTTCTTTCACCATAGCACACAGTAGAGCTCATTGGTTGGGCGGCAGCAGCATTGGACAACTTGTGGGAAGCTAACAGGGAGGTGCGCAGTAGACGGCGAATCAGTTGGATCCAAGCCTATATTCTGGAGTTGACAGAAACAAGCTGCAGCCCTTGAAGCGTTATCAGGCATGCTCTGTCGCTTTTTAGTGCAAGAAGAAGCAACTTCTGGCTACGGGTTGGTCCCATGAAACTAATGGGCTCGCCGGGATGGAGAGACCTGCTGTAAATCGTGTGAACATGATGGAAATTAAGGGGAAAATACTGCTTCGCAGCCACAGCCGCGTAAAGGCGAGCAGTCTAAGCGCAATGCGCATGAAAAGGGACTACAGTGTACTCTAGCAATACGAAAGAAAACTGTCAAAGTCTCTCAATGCTTGAAGCAGAGACTTTTGCAGCAAAAGACGGGCTACAGATGAATCTACTGCAGTGTGCAGGCACTACAACAGGGCCTGCTCGTGGCCTTCACCACTGGTCACCTATAAGCGGTTAAGAGGTTACGACGTTGGTCGATCGCGGAAACTCCTTACTAGTAAAATAGAAAACTAATTTATTAGCAAAATAACGTGTATAAACTGGAAATGTCTACGAGAACCCTAAAATTGGAGCTGGCGACAACGCCGGCACTGGTGCGGGTCACCTCCCTACCTGGCCAAGAACCATGAATGAACGACTTAGAGAAATTCTGGTTTGGAAAGCTCGGAATAGAGCTGCCTTTTAATAATATGGTAGACGTTTCGCAACAGATGCATCGACAGTAGAGAGGATTTCATATAGTGCGCAAGTTGTGGGACAGGTAACATCGTAGCCCATGCCGAGAACGCGGTGTACTACATCTACTGTGTGTGTTTAAGGAGGCAAAATCGCACCTGAGATAGGCGTAGGCATCTAAGGGTAGTGGTAATTGCATGAAAAACAAACATTTTGACGACATGGACGGAAAGTATGTCTTGCGTAGATCAGTACACTACAGTGGCGCCCCCAGTGTGCCTACAGTAGCTACAGTGATCTACTCCATGGAAATAATACAATAGAACGTAAGACTGGTATTAAATAAGACCAATTAGGCAGGAAATACAAGCAGTTACGAGCCTCAATCGCCCATCAGGGTTTCGCTGCTTACTGAGCTGTGAGGCGCCGGCCCAACTTAGTGCAACACAGCCATGAGGCAAGTTTAACTGTATCCATATGGGCCAAATGCACTATTATAGAGAAGCTTGGACAGCCAGAAGAGTAGCACTTGAATACTTATTCGATAATTGCTAGCCAGCTAAACTCTCTGGGAATTGCAGCCTGTGGCAGGCCCCACTGGCCCCCACTGGCAGGGGTGGAGGGCTCAGCTGTGGTCATTTTCCTCCTCGATATGAACACCAAGAGGCTCTTTAAATTCAAAATAAATTTTGAATTCAAAGAGCCAATGAGAGGCGAGGCTACCGCCTCCCAGCCGGCCCGGATCCTCTGCTTTCGCCTGCTGGGGGGCCCCCTGTGAGCCTCCCAGGCCTGGCTTTCGGTCTTAGTGTTTTTTTCGTGTCAACTTTGCATGCTGGGTGTGTGCAGCTTCTGGGGGCCCCTGGAAATGGTCAGGGCCTCAAAAGGAGCACTCAAGGGGCCCCTTTACGAGTCAAAGCACTGAAGTCTAAATTGGAAACGCAGACTCTCCCGCAGCAGCTACAGTTGTGCAGCGTCTTCTTTGCTGCAACAGCCCCGCTTGAGCTGCAGCAGCACCTCCTGCGCTGCAGCAGCAACTTCTGCGCTGCAGCTGCAGCGGCGCAGCCTTCGCTGCTGCAGCGCCGGAGGAAGCTGCAGCAGCGCCGAAGGAGGCTGCTGCTGCGCCAAACGAAGCCGCAGCAGAGCAGGCGGGGCTGAAGCAGCGCCGAAGGAAGCCGCAGCAGCACGAAAGGATGCTGCAGCAGCGCGTGCTGCGTTGCAGCAGCACAGGCGGGCCTGCAGCAGCGCAGGAGGAAGCTGCAGCAGCACTGAAGATGCTGCAGCAGCACCGAAGATGCTGCAGCAGCACCGGAGAAGCTGCACAGCAGCCGCCTAGGCCTGTAAGCAGGGGCCTCTATTGGTGTCTGTAGGCGCTGGGGAGCGCCGACAGCGGCAGTCTTTAGCTTTAGGGGTCCTTAATCCAACAGATTTGGATTTATTAATTTTATTTGATTAAAACTTTACGTTTTTTTGTATTTAAAGCAAACAACGCTTTTTGCTGCTAGCAGGGGAAGCAAGCAGGAGGAGCGAGGGATTGCTGCAGCGCCGCAGCAACGCATGCAACGGCAGCGACGACTCCAACGAAAGGGGATATTTCCCGAAGAGAAGTGGTAAATAATTGCATTAACAACTTAATAAATAGCAAATTGAAAAGAAAAAGTACAAAAAACTTTATTGAGGTCTTCTCAACTTGTGGCGTCTGCACAGAGGCTTCCCGAGCAGCCATCGAGACCCCAGTCGCTGACAGCAGCAACAAGAGGCTGTTTGCTGTTAATATAGAAGGCAATTCATAAGATCTTAAAGGGCTTCAAGCTGCTGCTGCAGCAGCCCAAGAGCGACTCAACGAGCGGGCTTGCCAGTAACTAGAAGCAGCACAGCAGCGGCAGCAGCAGCAGCAGCAGCAGCTGCTGCTGCTGCTGTGAGATTCGAGGAGTCTGTTTTCAGGCTCCTTGCCTTGACGGCGTTGCCTGCAGTAGCAGCCAGACCTACAGCAGCAGCAGCAGCGAAATTGAAAGCAGCAGCAGCAGCTGCAGCAGCAGCTGCTGCTGCAGCAGCCTTTATAAGGCAAACACACTCTCGTGCCCCACGTCGGCCACCCATGGCGACTCGTCCGTCTTTATTCGGAGCAGCAGCAGCAGCAGCAGCAGCGGCAGCAGCAGCAGCAGCAGCAGGTACAGTAGTGGGAAGGGAAATCCGCAGCGAATTGGCCAATGAAGCTGCGGATTAGGAAGCTCGCTGCCTTCCCTCGGCGTGTCTCGTTGCTGCTGCTGCTGCTGCTGCTGCAGCTGAGCCTTGAGGATGTGAGGCTGCTGCTGTGGGGCCCCGCGGAGGGCTGCTGCGGCTGCTGCTCTTTCCTGCTTCCTGCTGCTGCTAGCAGCAAAAACGAACCGGGGGGCAGCAAAACAAAGAGTGCTGCAGCAGGGAAGGACTTGCAGCATGTACAGAAGCAGCTGCAGCGAAAAGAGCGGCAGCAGCAAAAGCAGCAGCTGCAGCGCCAAAAGGGGGAGCAGCGGCAGCAAACAGAACGGCTGCAGCAGCAAAAAGAGAAGCCGCAGCAGCACGATGAAAAGCAGAAGCAGCAGAAAGAGAAGCAGCAGCAGCAAAGAGGGAAGCAGCAGCAGCAAAAGGAGCCGTCCGATCAGCAAAAGCAGCAGCAGCACCAGCAGCAGCATCTGCAGCATTCGCCGAAGCAAAAGGGATCCACACAGCAGCAGCAGCAGCAGCAGCAGCAGCGGAAGCAACAGAGGCAGCAGCAGCGTCTGCAGCAACAGCTAATGGATTTGGGCAGTGATGAGGCTTTGGACATCTACAACACAGAAGAAGATGCGGAAGACTCTGTTAGCTGTTTGCTGCAGCAGCAGCAGCTGCAGCAGCAGCAGCAGCAGCAGCAGCTGCAGCCACAGCAGCGGGGAGGAGCACAGAGAGGGCCGCGCGAGTGGCCCCGCGCATGCGAGCAGCGGCGCTCCCCCAGGGTTTAGGGTTTAGGGTTTCGGGTTTCGGGTTTAGGGTTTAGAGTTTAGGGTTTAGGGTTTAGGGTTTAGGGTTTAGGGTTTAGGGTTTGCACGCAGGAGCCAATAAGGAAACTCTACCCCTTCGGGGTTCCCATAGAAGTGCGCAGTGTATCTACAGGCCTCCGCATAAAACTCATTCTCCAGGCAGTGCTCGGCTCCGGCGGCCAGGGCATTGTTTTGCTGGTGAGTTAAGGAGCTAGCTAGCTAGCTAGCTAGCCAGACAGCTAGCTAGCTAGCCAGACAGCTAGCTAGCTAGCCAGACAGCTAGCTAGCTAGCTAGCCAGACAGCTAGCTAGCTAGCTAGCCAGACAGCTAGCTAGCTGGCTGACCGGCTAGCTACTTGGCTGGCTCAGTAGCTAGCTAGCTAGCTGGCTGGCTAGCGAGCTAGGTGGCTAGCTGGATAGCAAGATAGGCAGCTAACTAGCTAGTTAGCTAGCTAGCTAGTTAGCTGGCTAGCTGGCTGGCTGGCTAGCTGGCTACCTGGCTGGCGAGCGAGCTAGATGGCAGCCTTTCACCTGCGGCTCTTTGCTGCCTTGTAAATGCCTCTTGAAGCCCCTCCTCCTCCGCTGCTGCTTCTGCTGCTGCTGCTGCTGCTGCTGCTGCTGCTGCTGCTGCTGCTGTGCAGGCGCGCGTGGCTCGGGGCAGCCGCGCGGAGCTGGCGGTGAAGGTGTTTTGCCTGAGTCCTCGGGGTGGGCGGCGCGGCGCAGCGGGTGCAGCAGCTGCTTCTGCTGCTGCTGCTCCGGGCGCTGCAGCAGGAGCTCCTGCTGCAGCAGCAGCAGCAGCAGCAGCAGGAGGGCAGCGCCGCCTCCGCCGCAGACTCGCCTTAGAACTGGCCCTTGCCAGAGCTGCCCCTGCAGATGTCTCAGCGCCTCTGTGGTCTCAAATGGCCCACGTGGCTTTGCCGCTGGACTTGGTGGAGACCAGCAGCAGCAGCAGCAGCAGCAGCAGCAGCAGCAGCAGCACCTGCTGGCCCCAGTGGATCGTCTTCGAGAGATTCGCAGGTGCTGCTGCATGCCTTCTGCTGCTGCAGCGGCGGTTCGTGCTGCTCTGTTCTGCCTTTGTTGTGGTTACTTTTGGCTGTTTATTTTATTTATTTTGTTTTTTATTTATTTTTGTTTTTTTATTTGGTTTTGTTTATTTGCTGCTGGTCCGCACTTTGCTGAACTTGAGAAGGTCCTGGTAGCGCTGCTGCTGCAGGCGGCTTCTCTTCATCCTTGAGCAACAGCAGCTGCGGCTGCTGCTGCTGTTGCTGATTCTGCTGCTGCTGCTGCTGCTGCCGCTGCTGCTGGGATCGTTAGGGCTTCTCTGCTGCTGCTGTTGTTGATTCTGCTGCTGCTGCTTTGTTGCTGCTGCTGCTGCTGCTGGAATCGTTAGTGCATTGAGTGCATTTGCTGCTGCAGGGGACCTCTCGATGCTGCGGGGCCTGGCCTGTGCCTCCGCCTCCGCAAAGCTCTCGGCGACCAAGCAAATGCTTCTGTAAGCAGCTAGCTGTTTACCTAGCTAGCTAGCTATCCATATAGCTAGCTAGTTAGCTAGCTAGCTACCTAGGCTGCCCATTTAGCTAGCTAGCTACACATAGGTGTACATGTGGCAAACTATTTAGCTAGGCATTTAGCTAGGGATTCAGCAAAGCATTCAGCTAGCTCCTTAGCTAGCTAGCTAGCCAGCTACTTAGCTAGCTAGCGGCCCAACCGGCTGCTCAGCAAAGCAGCTGTGCAGCCATTTCGTTAGTCAGCCAAGAAGCCGGCAAGCTAGCAAGGGAGCCAGCTAGCTAGCCAGCTAGCTAGCTAAATAGCTAGCTAGCCAGCTAGCTAGTCATCTAGCTAGGCAAATAGCTAGCTGGAGTGCTGCTGCATGTGTTGCAGAGCTGTGGTGCGCATGCACGACATGGGGCTTGTGCATTCGGACGTGAAGGCCCAAAACTTCTTCGTGAAGCCTGACGGCAGGATCTTCCTGGGAGACTACTCGCTTGCCCACGTGAGTCTCTGGCTAGCTAGCTAGCTGGCTAGCTAGCTAGCTAGCTGGCTAGTTGGCTAGCTAGGTGGATAAACAGCCAGCTGGATGGTTAGGCAGCTAGATAGTTATCTATTTAGCTAGCTAGCTAGCTAGCTAGCTAGCTAGCTAGCAGGCAGTTACCTGGATAGCTGAGCAAAGTACTATTCGCCTGCCCACGTGAGGCCTATGGCTAGCTAGCTAGGTGGCTAGCTTGCTGGTTGCCTTGCCATTCAAACAGCTGCTTAGGTGGCTAGCTAGCTAGCCAAATAGCTAGCTAGCTGGCTAGCTGCGCGTGCTTTCTAGATTTATTTTGAGTACTTCTTAATGGAGCAGTTGGGCTGTTTGGCGATGGGCAGGTCGCGTGTGTGTGCTTCTGGGGTGTACGTACACCTCAGCCGCTGCAGCACGAGGCGGCGTGTTTGGAAGGAACTCTTTCTTATTTGCCTCCGGAGAGTTTCGAATGTTCTTTAAAAGCCAACAATAGTATAAAACTGACAGAAGCAAAAGACTCCTGGGCCCTGGGGGTTTCCTTTTTCAAGCTCTGGTGTATGTACACCAAGCCGTACGGCGCGGACGAGCTCCTGCATGACGAATTGGGAAGTTCGTTTCATTTCTTTTTCCTTTTGCTGCTTCTCTGGGACCTTGTCTGCTTGCCGCTGCTGCTGTTGCTGTCCCTGCTGCTGCTGCAGTTGCTGCCTCTCTTGCTGCCGCTGCTGCCGCTGCTGCTGCTCCTGCTGCTGCTGCTGCAGCTGGGGCTGCCCTTGTTATTACTGCTTTGGAAGCATTTTTTTCTTTTTTTTCCAGAGAGGATCGCTGGAGTTAAAATAGAAGATCTCGAATTCAGCGGCTGCAGCTATGACACTCCTGTTGCTGTCCTTGTACGTACACTTCGCTTGCTGCTGCCACTACTGCTGCTGTTGCCGCTGCGAGTTCTGCTGCTGCTGCTGCTGCTTCTGTTGCTGCCGCTGCTGGTGTTTGTGTCGCTGCTATCCCAGTTTGTTCGCGAGTTCCCCTCCCAGCATCTGTCGTTGCGTATCGCCTCCCCTGCCACTGCTGCTGCTGCTGCTGCTGCTGCTGCTGCTGCTGCTGCAGCACATGATTCGTTTGCTGCTGGAGCCGGACCCTTCGCTGCGGCCGAAGCCGCGAGACCTTTATGAACGCCACCCCGCATTTACTGCTGCCAGCAACTCCGTCTTGAGTTTCACTTTGGGGGCCCTCGTCAGCAAGATCAAGGGAGGGGGCCCGTGACACGCATGCGCGTTCCGCCCCCTTTTGCTGCAGCAGCAGCAGCAGCTGCTGCTGCTGCTGCTGCCGCTGCTGCTGCTGCGTTGGCAGCGGCGGCAGCAGGGTGTTAAAGTGAGCAGGGCCAAGAGAGGGAGGATGTTGCTGCAGCAGCTGCTGCTGCTGCAGCTGCAAGAAGCAGCAGCAGCAGCAGCAGCACTAGCGATTGAAATGATTGCCGAATTCTGATCGTTTTATTTTTATTTCTAATTGCCAGCAGTTTGCAGATTAACTTCGAGACCCAGCTGTGGGGCCCCGGGCCCCTTATTATCCTTATTATCTTCTAAACCCATTTTGTTTATTTGGTTTTTTATTTTTTTAATTTCCTTTTTAATCTTTTGAAGTCCTTCTGGCTCCCGCAAATCGAAACGACCCCACACGATCCCACACACGATCCCACACGATCCCATACGATCTTATACAATCCCATACGACCCCACACGACCCCACACACGATCCCACACGATCCCACACGATCCCAGCTCCGGAGCAGCACGAAAGACAGCCTCCACTAAACGCGAATGGGCGCCTTTCCTGCGTCGCCAGAGTAGGCAACAGGTATTAATTTGAGGGCCCCTAGGGGCCCCTTGGGGCCCCTTGGGGCCCCTTGGGGCCCTCAAATTGAAACCCCAGGGGCCCCTGGGGGCCCCTGGGGGCCCCTGAAATTCAACGAGATGGGCCCCCATCAAGGCCTACGGGTACCCCGCAGGCCTTGGCACTTTGGGGTCCCCTTGGGGCCCCCCTAAGGGCCCCCCAAGGGAACTCCCTAGGGGCTTCCCTAGAGACCCCTCTAGTGGCTCTTTTAGGGGCCCCTCTAGGGGCCCCTCTAGGGGCCCCTCTAGGGGCCTCTGTCGACGTTCTTCTAGGGGCCCCTGTAGGAGCCCCTGTAGGGGCCCCTGAAAGGCTCTTCTAGGGGCCCCTGTAGGAGCCCCTGTAGGACTCCGTTTAGGGGCCCCTCCAGTGGTAAAGGTATTTCTAGGGCCATCTCTAAGGGCCCCCTGGGGGCCTCTATAGGGGCCTCCCTGAAGGCATTAATTCGGGAGCTCTACAAGAGTACTAGGTGGCCCCCCACAGGCACTACTTAGGGGCCCCCGGGTATTGGCGTGGGTTTGCTTCCTGCAGCAGAAGTGCTGGGCGCAGCAGCAGCAGCTGCTGCTGCTGCAGCCAACTGCAACAGCAGCAGCAGCAGCAGCAG